GATAGATAGATAGATAGATAGATAGATAGATAGATAGATAGATAGATTACTTTATTCATCCCGAAGGGAAATTTGGTTAATTTGGTTCTGAGAGGAAACTGAGAGTTTATGGCACATTAAAGGGGGTTTTTAAGGACCCGATAACACATTAAACGGATTTTTAAAGAGGTGATAGCACATTAAAGAGTCTCAAATCTGCTCACCTCGATGACCCTCCTGTGGGTCTCGTCCACCTGGTTCAGGACCACCGGGGTGTCTTTCACCAGCTCTCTGATGGCGTCAATGTGGTTGTAGGAGATCAGCAGCAGGTCTTTTGGACGTGGACACAAGAAAACCTGATATTTGAAAGCCATGATCATCAGCTCATAAAGCTGCAGGAGGAAAGGACACCAGGAGGACAGTTAGACACTGCTGGACCGGCTGCTGTACTGGGTCCTATACTGGGCTCCTGTACTGGGTCCTGTTCTGGGATCTGGACTGAGCTCCTGTACTGGGTCCTCTACTGGGATCTGTACTGGGTCTTATACTGGGTTCCTGTCCTGGGATCTGTACTGGACTTCTGTAATGGGATCTGTACTGGACTCCTGTACTGGGATCTGTACTGGGTCCTGTACTGGGTCCTGTACTAGGATCTGTACTGGACTCCTGTACTGGGATCTGTACAGGACTCTTGTACTGGGTCCTGTACTGGGTCCTGTACTGGGTCCTATACTGGGCTCCTGTACTGGGTTTCTGTACTGGGTCCCGTCCCAGGTCCTGGACCTACCCGCTCCATGCTGGGGGGGCTCAGCCTCATGATGGAGGTGTGGGCCAGCCTGGTGAGCACCGTCTTCATGGTGCGGTGGGAGTACAGCTGCTGGGGTTGGAGCAGCTCGTCCATGAAGGCTTTGCTGAACATGGTCCCCACGATGTCACTCAGGACTGCCAGAAACAGAGCAGTTAACCCCCTGGCTGCTTTCGGGGGGGGGGGGGGTACAGCAGCTCTGATCGGGCCTCAAAACCCCTCAGAAGTGCTGCTGAGCCCCCCAACAGGGTCAAAGGACAACCAGAACCACACATACATGGACCCAATGCAGAGTGGAGTCACAGGATTTATGTTATTATTATATATTATATATATATTATTATGTTATTATTTGATTTCACCTCTTTTTCTGTCGTTGTCAGACCAAACTCCTGCAGCTGGGGGGGGTTCAGCAGAGACAGAGAGACAGAGAAGAGATGAGGGGGACAGGCCTCAGCAGATCCATTGCCATCTACAGACTGCTAAGGGGCTGAAGGGGGCTAAGCTCCTCCCACATCTCGCTATAGGGGCTAAGCTCCTCCCATAGCACGCTACATGGGGCTAAGCTCCCCCCACATCTCGCTATGGGGGCTAAGCTCCTCCCACAGCACGCTACATGGGGCTTAGCTCCCCCCACATCTTGCTATGGGGGCTAAGCTTGTCCCACATCCTGCTATGTGGGGCTAAGCTCCTCCCATGTCCTGCAATGGTGGGGGGGTAAGGGGGCTAAGCTCCTCCCACATCCTGCTATGGGGGCTAAGCTCCTCCTACATCTTGCTATGGAGGCTTAGCTCCTCCCACATCTTGCTACGGGGGCTAAGTTCCTCCCACAACCTGCCATAGTGGGGGTATAAGGGGGATAAACTCCTCCTACATCTTGCTATGGGGGCTAAGCTCCTCCCACAGCATGCTACAGGGGTCTAAGCTCCTCCCACAACTTGCTAAGGGGGCTAAGCTCCTCCCACTCTACCTTTCTGCGCGCCGTCCTCTGGCGTGTTTTGGGCGCGCAGGCGCTGGTCCAGGATGTAGAGCATCTCGCCGCCCAGGTTGATGAACGCCAGCGGCAGAGTCCGGGTAGACATGGCGGCGGGCTGCTGACCGAGGCGAGCTGGAGCGAGCTGGATGGAGCCTCAGCGCTCCGCAGGTCCACAGCATTCCTGCCTCTGAGCCGATTCCTCCTGAGAGGCAGCAGCTGGTCAGGAAGAGGATCAGCAGGCTGCAGCTAATTGGATAAGGATGGCGAGGCCACACAGGAGGGAGGGGGGGCAGGGGCAGCCCTCCAGAGGCTTAAGCAGCTCCAGAGGAGAGGCCACTCCCATCAGACCACCACCAGATCCCACCAGACCCCCAGCAGATCCCACCAGATTCCCATCAATACATAAACCCCCCTTTTCTCTCGGACTTCCCCAGAAAGAGCAAGAACCCAAAAGGTACTACTAACACCAGAGTCCAAAAGGTACCACTCAAACCAGAACCCAAACGGCACCTCTGAAACCAGAGGTTTTATCACCAAAACCCAAAAGGTACCGCTATCAGCAGAACCCCAAAGTTACCGCTAACACCAGAACCCCAAAGGTACGGCTAATACCAGAACCCCAGATGTACCACTGAAACCAGAACCAAAAAAGATACCACTGACCAGGAACCCCAGAGGTACCCATGAAACCAGAACCCCAGAGGTACCGCTAACACACGAACCCCAGAGGTACCACTGAAACCAGAACCCTACCCAGGTCCATGAGGTTCCTTAAATGCTGTTCCTGCCCAAACTTCAGAAAACCCACCCAAAACCAGCAGAACTCAAAGGATCTGTTGTTAATGTTCTGGTACCAGACTCCTCAGGACACCAATGGACCCGACTCAGCTTTCATGGTCCTGAGGTCATTAATGGAGATTAGCTTTGCCACATCGTCAAGAGCTGGTGATCCTTCTGTCTCTGCTGGGTCTGGTTCTTCAGCAGCAGAACCAGAACCCGGTTCCACGTGCTGCCAACACGGTTTGCTGCTAAGCTAACTGAGCTAACTGAGCTTCGCCACCTATATCTAACCAGCTTTCTTGGAGTCTGCTGTCCAGGTTTTGGGGACTGAACCCAAACCCTCCTCCTGCTGAGGGCTGGACTGACCCTGGAGGCCCCTTTTTGCCAGCTAACCCCTCAGATAGCATCTGCTCGCCGCTTTTACAGCACTTCTGTTTGTGCTCGGCTCATTGTCCGAGCAGATTAGCGGGTGTAAGATGCAAATGGGTCCTAATCTGCCGGCGGGCTGCTCCCAGCCACAGCCAGTTGCTGTGTGACACGCTGATCCTCACAGCTGGAGCGCTTTTTGGTAAGAAACCTCCGTCAGATGGGAGCTGGCACCAAAATGTGAGCTCGCCTTCGAGGGGGATCTGGATCGACCTCGACCTGAACCTGAACCTGAGCCGACACACTGCGGAGCGTCCTCATGGAGACCCTTCGCAACCTCTGGATTCTCTCTGCGTAGGTTAAATCTTCCATTCCTGAATCAACCAGCTGCTCTTTTTAGGAGATACTGAATATTAAATACTGAAGATAATGCATTATATAAGAAAGATGTAAAAAGAAATAAATTATAAAGAAATAATCAATAAAAAAGGGTTTTATTCACCTCAGAGACTGAAGAACGGAGGTAGAGGTGGAGACTGAGATACAGGACGAACCCTGACTTACTCTAACTTTACTACCTGAACTTTAACTTAGCTTATTTCTTTTTAGTAATTTTTGTTTAATTTTTCTTTCTATGACTTAAACGTCATACGTTGGAAATTTACTTTGGGTGTCGAGTCGAATATTTGATTGTATTTTACTTCGGATGTTGGAAAATTTCCATGTTTAGGCAATCAGTAGTAGAAGTTCTACTGTATTTGTGACTTTGTGTAGATTCTCGGCCGTCCGGGTCCTGAGAGCTGGACTAGAGGCAGCTGGACCCACTGGACCCTCCAGACCTCCTCCAGCTGCCTCTGCTTCAGCTCTCAGAGGAAGGACTTTCCTGGCTGGCTTTGGATCATTAACCTATTTTACTAACCAAAGAGCTGATATGATGATATGAGGCCAATGAAGGCGGCTTGTCTTAATGGACTGACCAGTCCAGGGTGTACCCAACCGGTCACCCAATGGTGGTTGGGGTAGGATCCACCCACCCAGCAGAACGTACTGGGAACAGACTTCTTGGATCTTGAAGAGGTTTTATCTCTAACCCTGATTAGAAGAAGAAGTGTCTTTAAGATCCCGGGGGTCCAAGACAAGAGGTCTTCTTGGGTCGTTTGCCATTGCTAAGGTCCTGAGGATCACCAAACCGTACCGAACTGACCTGGTAATCCTTATCCAAGCTCCTAACTAATGAAGCCTTTCTTCCATCAGGGTGAGCCTATGTTTGGGGGCGCAATATGGCTTCAATGACGATCCAGGCCTGCCTCCGGGACCCTACCTGGACTGGATGGCATCCATACCTGATGACACGCCCCTGTCGGCCATCGCCATCCCGGGGACACATGAAAGTCTGACTCTACATGGGGGACCGCTCGCCGTCTGTCAAGTCTGGTCCCTGGAGAAGCAGCTCAAAGTTGGGGTCCGATATTTGGACTTGCATGCCGGGATCTGGCTTCCCACCCAGACAGAAATCCAGATCCGAGATGGGCACTGGATGTTCTCGCAGGGCACAAATTTGGCCGAAGTCCTGCGGAAGGTGTCCGGCTTCCTACAGAACCACAGAACCGAGGCCGTGCTCCTCAAAGTGACCGCGCACGGGTTCTACAAGGCCCGGGTGGAGCGGCTGGTCCTGGGCCTTCTCCTAAAGTACGGAGACCGAGTTTGGACCGGCCAGAAGGTCCCCACCCTGAAGGAGGCCCGGGGCCGGATGGTGCTCCTGAGGAGCGACACGGTCCGGTCCGGAACACAGAACCACCGGTCCTCCTTCTTTGACTCTGGCAAGCTGAAACACGTCGAGAGGGAAAGGAAGCGGGTCAAGCTGTGGCTCTGCGAGCGCCAGGCCGTGGTCACCGAGGTAACGGCGGGCGCCCTGAGGAGTGTCAAGGCGGCGGCCCGGGCAGTCAACCGGCAGCTGGCGGATATCCTGCAGGGCAACCGGGGCCACCCGGAGGAAGGCTGCCTGGGGGTGCTCAGCCTGGACTTCCCCAGTGCCCAGCTCATCACAGCCATCGCCCAGCTCAGACCATGTGACTGCGCCCGGCCAATAGGAGGAGAGAAGGGGGAGGAGCCTGTGCAGGGATCCACGACCAGAGCTCCACCAGAACCAAAACCTCTGCCGGCACCTGAGCCAGAACCAGCACCTGATCCACAACCTGAACCACAACCTGAGCCGGAACCTGAGCCAGAGCCAGAACCAGAACCACAACCTGAACCTGAGCCTGAGCCAGAACCAGAACCAGAACCAGAACCAGAACCAGAACCAGAACCCGAACCAGAACCAGAACCCGAACCCGAACCACAACCTGAACCAGAACCAGAACCCGAACCAGCACCTGATCCACAGCCTGAGCCAGAGCCAGAACCAGAACCAGCACCACAACCTGAACCAGAACCAGAACCAGAACCTGATCCACAACCTGAGCCGGAACCTGAGCCAGAACCTGAACCACAACCTGAGCCGGAACCTGAGCCGGAACCTGAGCCAGAGCCTGAACCACAACCAGAACCACAACCTGAACCAGAACCAGAACCCGAACCACAACCTGAACCAGAACCTGAGCCAGAACCAGCACCTGATCCACAACCTGAGCCGGAACCTGAGCCAGAACCTGAACCACAACCTGAGCCGGAACCTGTGCCAGAACCTGAACCACAACCTGAACCTGA